AAGATGAAGGGGAGCCGCCGCCGCAGCCGCCCGACCCGCCCTCAGCCCCCACTCACTGTTGAGGCCTGGCTCGGTGGGCGTCCCCTCGGGCGGCAGGTTGTTGTTATTGTTGTGGTGAGACAAGTCCTGAGGGGACGACATGGCGGCGGAACGGGGTGACGGCGAGCGCGGAGCTGGTCCGTCCGAGGCAGCGTGTGGAGGAGGAGCGGAGGCAGCTCCCGAGGACAAGACCGGCGGCGGCGATAACAGCAGCACAGCTGGGATCGCGAGTGGCTATCTGTACGCTCCCCGAAGCCAGCCCCAGCGACCCCGCCTCCGCCGAGCCGCTGCGCACGCGCCGTGGAAGCCTGGCGCCTAGCCTGGGCACAGGCCCCGCCCACTCACAGCAGATGGCAGCCTTTCCTCCCTGACGCTCCTCACGTAGGCCATTCGGAGCCGGAGAGGGGGGCGTGGTGTTCCCAGGCGGGAATGCGCATGCTTGTCCTCGATCGCAGCTTCTCTCAACCAACAGCCCCCACCTGCCTGGTGGACTATTTTTTTTTCTTTTGCTGCGCATGCGCCGAACTGGGGACATTATAGCTTGGGGTTCATAATAAAATCAGGGGATGATGGTTTAAAAAGTTAAGCAGGGTGATGCCTGGATAGGGGACCACTAGGAAATCCAAGATTGTAACCAAACTAGGGGATCTGGAAAATGTCCACTGAAATGATAACAGATTGGAACTGTTTTACAAGTGCTACAAATAGTTACCTAGAAAATAATAGACATCCAGGAAGGTTGTTTCCTCCCCCACTTTTGTTAAAAACAAAGGGGGTATTGATCCTCTAAAGATAAAAACTGATGCACAAAACATGTTTTTGGCTTTCTCTACTTCGATAGTATGTCTTGAAGTTTCATAAATGTCAGGAACTGCACGCTTCACCGTCTTAGAACAGAAGGAGAGGAAGAAGTGCACCTACTTTTATTAAGCTTAGGGACAGACTTACTGCATGTGTCCATCAGTTTAGTGCTAAGAGTTCCTCCCCATCCAGATCCAGTCTAAAAATCTTTATCAAGAAATGGATAATTAAGTATTGCACATGCTTAAAATGCAGAATAAAATTCAAAATCGGAAAGAATAGCCATTCAGGGTCAAACCAAGATCTATCTTAATCTAGCGCAATTCTGGAAATTGAACTCCACACATCTTAAAACTGCCAAGGTCGAGGCATTTTGTTTCTCCTTGCCAATTGCTTTTCACAATCAGATTGACATGATGCATTCCTTTTTCCCTTCCATAGTCCCCTCTACAATTGGCGCCTGGAGGAAAAACTTAATTTTCAACAATGAGTCCCTTGCTATCACAACTTTCCACGATTCTCTCTTGAAAGGTATCCAGTGGTCAACATCATTATGCTTCATGATAAAGAACTCCATAAGCAATTCCAAGCTGTGTGGAATATTTTTTCTTTCCCTTATAACTTTTCCAGTTACTTGGAAGACCCTATTCCTAATATATTGAAGGGGCTACCCTCCTCTTTACCTGATTTTATACACCTTGAACATATCTCCTTCAGTTTCTTTTGTTTTGAACTAATCCTATAGCTATTAACTTTTCCTGGTAAAGTTGCTCAATTCTTTATCCTTGATCAGCTTGGTTGCCATCTTCTGCATTTTTCCAAAACTTAAGCTTTTCTGCTTCAGTGTACACACAGCTCAGGCTAACCACAACTTGGCTACTGTACTTTCATTAGTTATTTGTGTGGGTATGTTTCTCAGTAGACAGTAGACAGATGCTTGCAGCCAAGGCTTTTATTATCCAATAGCTCTCATTGCCCCCAAAGATCTCATTTAGGGATCTCTGGAAGGAAAGAGAGAAACATACAAATATCCTTTAACCAACAAGAGCTGTCCATCTAAATGCATCCTTCCACTACCCTATATTAAAAAGTGGGAAATAGAGCCTTCCCATGCAGGCCATCATCAAGAAAATAAAGCTAAAAGCTAAAAGCAGGGAGCAGACATGGGTGCACACATTCCTAGTCCGTGGATGTACCTGGAAATCAGTTGCTTTCTAGATTTCTGAGTGCTGAATTCCTGAAACAATTCAGATATGCAGTATAAATCAAACTATTAAAAATCTTGATCATGTTCATCCCGAAGTACTTCTATAACTGTGTGAGTTGGGTGGCCATATGAATTTAATAAATTAAATAACAAACATTTAGACATGTGTATATATGTGCTGGAGAGAAATTTGATGTCTTCTACTAAATGTCCCTCCATACAAAACAACATCTGAACATAAAGAAGGAACAAACTGCATTAAGCCGTACATTTCTATTATCCTAGAAGTCATTACTATGCTGTTATTTTGAATAATTGACCTGTCAGTTTTGCACCACCCCCACCCCCCATATATCATTTCCCCTAATTTGTTCATATGTACACACTGTTCTGGTTTTTCCACCTTTCTTGAAAGCACTTTCTACTTAAAGCAAAAGACTCAAATTTGGTTAGGCGATTATTTTAGAATGGGATATTGATCACACTGGTATTTTATCTCAACAGTCCAAAATATTAATAGGTCTTTCCTGCCATACTCTTCTTTTTGCATGAGCCCACAGTCAAGAATTTCCAATTAACCACAATTCCTATATCTACCAATTTCAGAAAAAAGGTTTAACTATTAAAATACAGTTTAAAACTGAACATCCTGAGTTGTTCCAAATAAGTCAATCATGATTCTTGATCGCACCAAGAACAAGTGGACAGCACATGTGGGCACAAAATTTCTCCATCTCTTCCTTGCATAGGAAAATAATTAAGCCTTGCTTAAATCAGCTAATAAGTATGTATGTAGCAGCTTATTGGAACTGGTATTCAGCACTGAAATTTTGATTATAGTTGCAGATAAGAACCACATGATTGAAAATAGAACCGCACCTTTTGAACATATAAAACAGTACATAAAGCTGTTTCATTTTATTTCAACTCCAAGCAAATACAAAATTCCACATGCCCCCCCCCTCTTCTTTTTTTTTAAAGATTGTAAACCAGGTGTTGTTTTGCTCCTTTCATACATGTTTGAGGAATGATGATGATCTCATCTCAGGTGATCAAAATGATTCCTCCCCCATGGGTCATGCCTAAAGATCCCTCAGGCTAATGAGTGTTTTCCCCAGGAGTGGTTTCGAGCTGTATAGTGCAAAACATGGAATAAGTGTCAGTTGTAGAGTTCTGGCTTATTTCCTGAAAGGCTACACAAGTACTCTGTTAAATTTCTGAACATCTTTTGGACAAAGCGGTTCATTCTCACCCACTTTGCAATGCAAATAGATTTTGGGAATGCATTCCCATGGTCATTTCAGATGGAGCCAAAGGGGTCTGGCAACCACCCAAAATGAGTCATTTTGGAGTGGGGATAATCATTCAGATTTTGCTGTGCTCACATACTATTTTGTGTACCAGATTAGAAACCATCACACACTCTAGGCTAGCACTCTTTTCCTCAAGGGTGGGGCAATCTGTACTTAATGGCAGAGGACATACTATTTGACATACAAAAAGGTCCTAGAACGAATTCCTGGTATCTTTAATTCAAAAGAGAAAATGACAAGAATGACCACACAATATTAGCTAGTGTGCTTTTCTATTAGTTTCCAGAAATAAATCAAGGAATGTAAGAAGCATCCAGCTAAGCTTTCAACCAGGCATGTTGTACCTAAAGGAGTAAAACAATCAAAGTTATTCCTCAAAATAAAAATGTGAAACAGTTCCAGCCCATTAATGGGACTTCATAATATCACCACCAGTCTTGCATTCAAGCCCATAGCTCCTGAAACTAATAAATATATAGTCCTCATTTGAAAACTAATGGCCTGGATTATATTCTTAAAAATATATAGGGAATGCAAAATATATAGAAGAGCCGTGGTGGTGCAATGGTTAGAATGGAGTATTGCAGGCAGGCTCTGCCCACAACCAGCAGTTCAATCCTGAATGGCTCAAGGTTGACTCAGCCTTCCATCATTCCAAGATAGGTAAAATGAGGACCCAGATTGTCAGGGGCCATATGCTGGCTCTGTAAATTGCTTAGAGAGGGCTGTAAAGCACTGTGAAGCGGTATATAAGTCTAAGTGCTATTGCTAAAAGGAAAGCTACTAGCTTTCAGAGGTGCTGTCTTTAGATTGGGAGATTATACAAAATTTGGGAAAATTACCTAAAGATGGAGAATATGTGAGTGCTAAAAATGGTGCATAAATATTTTAAATGTATGCCAACATCTACTATTGGATCTACTGGGGACTTGAAGCATTTTTTGATTACTGTAACATTTTTCTATATCCTGTAATAGCAAGTGTTTTAAAAAAAATTGCACGAAAAGAGGAATGTTTGTAAGGTCAAACTACAATTCCATTCAAGTTCCTAGTAGCAATAAAAATACATAAGTATCGGGGTTGTCAGGCATGTAATAATTTTTATCTATTCAAATCACTTCATATTAAATTTGGTACGACATACTTTTTAAAAACAAGAAACTTTAATTCTTTTTTTTTTTCCAGAAAGGAAAGAAAAGCACTGTTGTGCGAGTCTGAATCTGAAACAAGGCATTCACTGAAATTAGGACAAAGGGATTAACACATGAAAAAGTTTAGTCCCATAAAACTTTAACACTATTCTACAAAATTCAGACCCTCCCCAATTCTGACAAAATTCTGTTAATAAAGAAGAAAGGGAGAAGGCTGTAGGTGACATAAGACAAATAAGACAATTACTGTTCAAGCTTTCGGCAGAATCCAAGAGTGTTCCAAAAAGTTATTTTAATGGAAACTGCAGATAAATATTAAAGTGTCTTTAACAATTTCAAATAGAAGTCATTAAAAAAAACCTTCTCCCTTTCCTCATAAAAATTAATACTGGTTAAAATCATTATCAAACCATTTTATCATGTATCTAACTTAAAAAAAACAATTTTAATATAAAGAGGTAGATTGAAAAAAAAAAAAAAACAATTCGCCATTATTCGACATTTTTATTCAGTATATTTTTCCCCCTTACGTTTTTTTTTCCTTTTTCATTTTCAGCGCCAGACATGTCAAGGAGTGATTGCAGTCAACATTTCATTAAAACATTTTACTCTTTGCAAGAGACCCTTTTTTCCTTCCCCTTGACCACCGATCCATTTCATGTGCTTTTCATTTTTTTTCCCTTCTTCTTCTTCTCTAGATACCACCACCACCACCACCACAGGGCTGGAGAAAGGGATTGTAAAAGGGAGAAGGAGTCCAGGAGACATAAGAGGAATGCTACAAGCCACAGCAAGAACAAGCTGTTATTTAATTAAAAAAAAGGGGGGGCACAAATAATACAGTAATGAGGTTACACAATGAAATCCCACAGCATTACTTGAAGGCTTTGCTCTGTGGCTGACGTCATCACAATGGAAGGCATAAAAAATTGGAGGAACCCAATGTTGACAATGATCCAATCTCTAGTCCATTTGGTGAGATGGTGCAAGTAGTCATTTTATGTTAAAAAGTGCCCTACCCCCCACCTAAATGGCTAGTGGAGAACTGCCCAGCAAAGACAGAAAAAGAGAGAGGGAGAGAGAAAGAGAGAAACAGAGAGAGAGAGACAGAAAGACAGAGAGGGAGAGAGATAGATAGAGAGAGACCATCCATGTAGCTATCTAGAAAAAATGAGTTGTCACTATGGCACATTGTTTAAACACTGGGGAAGGTGCACCGCAACGAACTTCTCTCTCTCTGGCTCCATTTCTTCCCCTATATTGTTTACAAATGCTAAGTTCACCTATCTGAACTAGACAGGAAGTGAACTCCTCTGATCGGACCACTACCCTAAATCCCTTTGTCTTGAAATATATACAAGTTGTTTGTAGTGGCTACAGCAATTATGTTTTCCTTGGGATGCCAGGCTGTGTGGAGGATCTTCTTGTTGAAGTCTAAGCTATCAACACTTATCTCGTCCTTCTTCCGTTTGCCACTCGCACAGACTTTACGGGGTTTCAAAACCGTACGAGGCTTATTGTTTTCCCGAGAAGCTTCTAATGTGACATCACGCTTGGTGTTTCTATCGAACATTCGGAAGAAGTTGTTGTAGGAGCCAGTCATGACGACGCTGTAGACAAAGAGGAGAAAAAGTGAGGTTGTGTTTCTGATCCTGGGAACGTTCCGATCATTTGGCCTTCGACTTTCTGTTGCTGGTTGTTTTCATTCAATTGGTGGTACTTGATTTGCACGGATGGTAGGTGTGAGGAAGCTACACCTACCTAGAAAGGTTACGCTAATGGGACTTCTTTAATTTATCCAGTCTGTTTGGCTTAAAACATTTGCAATACATTAGTAATTATGAAGTACATGTAGAAATAAGATGGAGTATTTTACATATTTTTGTTGCAAATATAAAATCTCCTTTGGGAGAGAAAAATAAACAGGCCCAGAGTTGTCAATTTATATATTGAAATTCTTCAGAACTGGAATCCCAGATTTAAGAGACTTTGACTACTGACAATTTAATCAAGCAGTTTTTAATCAGGAAAATGAGGGCATAATGATTACATTTTCCCCCTTCAGTTCCCAATTTCTTCAGACTGAGGTTCTTGCAGGCAGCTAACTAAAAGCAAATGGATTCCAAAATATAATTTTAAAAATCTGCCAACTGGTTTTCATTCTGTTTTAACTGTATCTTTTATATGATTTTGACTTCTTTACTGTAAGATGCACATTTCGAGTGAGATCGGCAATGCCTAAATTTATATTTTATATATATATATTGGGTGTATATGTGTAATAAATAAATAAATTTAGACACTGCTGATCTCACTAAGGCAGAAATATTAGCAATTATATATATGAGTTCTGTTACGGTTTGTTTTTAAAGTTATACACTGCTTTATCAAGGTTAGCCTAAGCAGTGTAAAGACCATCAACTACAACCAATGCAGTAATTATTTACTATAGGAAGATAATTGATGTATATTAGGAGAGGATAAACTGTATTTGCAGGAAGATCCAATCCTTAGGATCCCCAGTTCATAAGATCAGGTAGCATCAATTGCTTCATATAGCATGTAATACTAGACTAAATGAACCAATTATCTGACCTTGGGTTATATAACTGCATTCCATTCTGCCTGGATAACCTAAGATTGGGATCGGTTAATACAATTTCATCTGGAATTCACAAAGCATCAGAGGCCCCAAGCCAAACTTTGAGCAGATCTCCCTTGGTCCACATGTTAGTAGGTAAATAAAGATTTAAATAAACATAGCAAAAAGAAAAAAAAAAAACCGTCTGTCACAAACCAAACAATAGATTGCACAAGTTTAAACATAAAACATAAACCGACCCATTTAGATGTTTCACTGGATAAACCAAAATAATAACAAAAATTATCCAGCTAATTCTTTTATTATCCTCTTTTCTTTTCTAGAAATCATTTCCAAACAGGTACCAAAACACAGTGCAAGCTACATAAGCTTTCCATGCAGCCAAGCTTCCTAGACATTCAATTGAAAAAAAAGTTTTAACTGTCAATTAGTAAGAACATGTTAAAAGAAGAAGGAAAAAATTGAAACTTGCCTATCCGACCCATTCCAGCAGCACTCAAATTTGTCAAAAATGCAGTCATTTTCATAGAGCGAACAAAGTTTACTTCTGAGGTATTCATGTACCTGGAAATAAAAAACACAGTTTGAAGAAGAAGTAATATAACATAGAATAGAATAGAATAGAATAGAATAGAATAGAATAGAATAGAATAGAATAGAATAGAATAGAATAGAATAGAATAGAATAGAATAGAATAGAATTCTTTATTGGCCAAGTGTGATTGGACACACAAGGAATTTGTCTTGGTGCATATGCTTTCAGTGTACATAAAAGAAAAGGTACATTCATCAAGAATCATAAGGTGCAACACTTAATGATAGTTATAGGGAACAAATAAGCAATCAAATCATATTAGGAAACAGTCAATATAAATCGTAAGGATACCAGCAACAAGGTTACAGTCATACAGTCGTAAGTGGGAGGAGATGAGTGATAGGAACGATGAGAAGATTAATAGTAATGCAGACTTAGTAACTAGTTTGACAATGTTGAGGGAATTATTTGTTTAGCAGAGTGATGGCGTTCGGAAAAAAACTGTTCTTGTATCGAGTTGTCATATTAACAGTTATTAACTGTTTTGAGGCTATAATTTAAGATTGCAAATGATTGTGTGAATATGAAAGTTCACATCATCTAAAAATAAAGTACCTTTAATTTCTAGATTGCTGTTCTTATTCCAGCAAAACGTATCATGCTTAATAAAAGTTTTTTATTAAATTCAATAGCAGCCTCATAACTTCATATCGCACCTTCAGCTACTCAAACTCTATTAGTTCATTTTAGGAGATCTCTGAACCTGTCTGACCACTTTTAAGAAACTATTTAAGGAGTTGAAAGAAAAAGAAAATCTGATAATCTCAAATGCATACCCTAGATCTGAAATCATGACCAAAAGTATAAATTCATACAGACATACAGTGTATGAAATTATACTCCATTCTTCCAGCATACACACTTCGGGATGTATAAATTTTATACAAATTTCAGGATTCAGGATGGTAAATAATGAGAAATGAGAAATAATGCAAAAATTAAAATTGTTTAAAAGAAACAAACGTAAGAATTAACATTGCTAGTTGAGCAAATGCATTCTCAAATAGTTTTACCAGTTCATGTAAAAAATTCATCCATAAATTATATCTGAAGCTAGGACCAGCCACTTTTGCAAGAATAGGGCCCATTACAGTATTACAAACACCAAGAGATACATATATATTTTAAACCTTAAAAACCCACAACTTCCACAACTTCATCAGAACCTATGAGAGAAGTTCCTCAGGATATTCTGAATTATTTATTTCTGATTTAAACCAATAAACAAAACATTTCATTGTGGAGATGAAGATGTGCTCTATAGCATCTATATTTACTATTCTACCAAATCTTGACTTAATTATTAATTAATCACAAGTTTGATTCCCCCAAACTGTCTATCAGTATGGCATACCTGGTACGTTTCCACAGGTCGGTTTTCCATATTTAAATCCCAAATCTTCACAGACAGATAATCTCTAGTCATCATATATCGACCACTATGGCTAAATTTGACATCAGAGATGGAGGAGATGATTTCTGAAAAAAAGGATCGGCTGCTTGGATCTTCTGGCTCCTCAAATACTGCAAGTGAAATATAAGCACATTCATTTGCCAAACTTGCCTCAATGACATGAAGATTTTCCTTTGTACATTAACACATAAAACCTAAAGCATTAACCCTTGGAAGCCATATCCTGCTGAGATGAAAAATTATCCACCAGAGGTCCAAATAAACAACGATTCTGGGGTCAAAAGTAATTTGAACCCAACTTTCCTTATTCCCATTCCCAGTTCCAAGGACCGGTAGAAGCAGACCTTGATATATTATATATTTATAAATTACTATCCATAGCCAAGTAACTCATATTTTTTGACTTTCTGCTGTCCAGAAATCCAATGAAGCAATGACGTTTTCTAATTATCAGGAGCAAAAGTGTTCCAAAAGAGACTGAAGCCCAACCACTAGATAATGATCTTTTCGATGGAAATCTATAAACACACAGCCAATGTGATGTGTTTTCCTGTGTACGTTCTTGCCAACAACAAGGAGAAGAAGCTTGGTTTAAGGAAGGGCATACAGGGTTGTGGAGATGGGTAGTAATGCAGCATCAACTCCTAAAAGGTGCTCATGGAATCCAAAAATTGTGTTTGTGGCAGACACAGAGGCACACACATAAAAATGAGCACCTCCTGCATACAATTTAAGAGGCTGCTGAAATCCTGCAAATCTTGAGTGATTTTGTGAGATCCTCAGACAAGCGTTTGCTCCGTTGCACAACTCTGCACTGTTGGTATTTCTGTCTGAAACGGTTGTTAAATCCTCGAATATGCAACCCCACCCCACCACTCCTCATGCCCCCAAAATGCAGCCACCCTGACATTTTCTATTTTTTTAATCTTCATGTCCGCCCAAAGCTTATGGATCAGTCACTTTCCTCCTTCTGTGGTCTGATTGTGTGCTTCCTGTATCTGGAGAATTAGAGCATTCTTAAAATTCACTTCCATCCTTCCACAGTTAGCTCCGTTTGTTTGCTATCCTGATGTGGAAGTACTCAAGTCAAAGGTATTTTTTAAACTGCTTTGTTTTTGTTTTACAATTGGGGGATATAAAGTTAAATGGACTTTCCAGTCTGTTGCTTCACACCAATTTGCTCTGGTGGTAAAACTCAATTAGAAGAGAAAAAGCTACTCACATTTCGAATGCCTGTCACAGAGCGCCGAGGCACGCATGTCACACAGGCGAATAGTTCCCTTGCTACTGCTGTACACAAAAGTATTGCAGCTGTTTGGGTGGAATTCGGCTGCTGTTATTACCTCCGTCAGCTCTTCCATGTTGGCAGGCTTAATATCTACGATATCTAGAAATTGTTGGCATTAAGGAGTCTTCTTTTCAAAGCTTTGACATTTGCATTCTAACACATAAAAAGGAGTCCCTGCAATTTTTACTCTGCTAGTTGTTGCTGACTCTAGGGGGAAGTGCACATCTCAGTTTCAAGGCCGTTGAGCTGTCCGAAGACGCTTCTGCGGACATGTGGCCAACATGACGTCATGGAGCATTGTTACCTTCCCATTAAATGGTACCTGTTTATCTACTTGCATTTGCATCCTATCGAACTGCTAGGTTGGCGGGAGCTGGGGAGAGGACAGGAGCTCACACCATTGTGTGGCACTTGGGTCTTGAACCTGGGCTGCCGGCTTTCCAGCCAACAAACCCAGTATCTTAACTATTGAGCCATCATGTCACCCTATTCTAACCCATACTGGGGGACAAAATAAATTGCTAGAAAGCATTACTCTTTGGGGCAAGAGATTGGGTAAAACTAGTTATTAGACTATATAGACTGTTGGAACTGGGTTCTTTGAAGCTGCAAAACTCAATTCCATCAATTTTAGCTTTTGGGAAAAGGACCATTTCATCCATTTTTACATAGAGAAAGAAAGGTAGAAGGTAGACTTCAGTGCATACATGCACACAGCCAAATTTTCTTGGCTGCAGTTTTATAGTGATTTGCCAAAGCTCTCATCATTCTTATACTTTATACCTATCCCCATCTCCTCTGTACCCCAAGGATCTTCTAGTGGTCTCCCATTCAAGTACTAATCAGTCCTGACCTGCCCAGCTTTTACCGTATCAGCCAAAGGTGACTAGGTGCTCCCATCCACTGTTAACCAGAGAGTAATTATGGTATTGTAATTAATTATTCTTTATATTTAAACAATAAAGATTTATGCTACTTTATCACCCCTAGTGGGGATCTGGATTCCAAAACTCAAGGCTTACACAGTTTATGTATAAGAAACATGGGTTATGTTACAAAATAATTGAAGAAAAGCTAAAGTGACAACTTCTACCACCACCTAGGGTTTCTCTAGAGTCCACATGACTGTTGAAAAGTTGCTCTCAACTTGACATTTTGGAAAAGCTGTTAAATATATCAGAAGTAAATTTATAAATTGCATTTAATTAAAAATGTTTATATTCACTGGACATTCAGAGTTACCTTGTAGGGGAGATGGGTGGCATAAAAATGTAGTAAAATAAATTCACGGTATCTATGTAGAAATCAAATGAAACTGAAGTGTCAATTCCCAGAATATATTTGTAGTCTCCCCAGATCTTCCAAGATTGTATGTATGTATGTACCGTATTTTTCAGACTATAAGACACACTCTTTTGTCTCCCAAAAGGGGATAAAAATGTCTGTGCATCTTATACACTGAATATGGCCGAAGTACCACCCACCCACCAGCTGTTTTTTTTTTGCCTCCACATGCTCCATTTTCAGAGTTTTTCAAGACCATCTTTGAGGCTTTTTTTGGCCAGTTTTTTAGGCTTTTTTTGGCCCATTTCAAGGCTTTTTTGGTCTGTTTTCGAGGCTTCTTTTGCCAATTTTTTTTTTTTTGGAAAAAACAGCCTGAAAAAAGCCTCAAAAATGGGCCAAAAAAAAAGGTCTGAAAATGGGGCACGCAGAGGCAAAAAACTTTTTTTTGGCGATTTCCTCTTCTAAATTTAGGTGCGTCTTATAATCAGGTACATCTTATAGTATGGTATGGTATGGTATGGTATGTATGTATGTATGTATGTATGTATGTATGTATGTATAAATTTCCAGATGCATGTGATGCACACATGTATTGTGATGATATAGTAGCACTGAGAGTAGGAAAACATACAGACTCAAGTCCTGCACATTCTGATCTTCAGCCCAGCTGAACACACACACTCTGAATAAAAAGATACTAAAACTTCTATCTGTGATTTCTAGATGCCACAAATTAATCCTCAAGTCATCCGCGGACAAGTATGTTTCATAATCACTATTAATGGAGATAGAATTGATGTGATACGTGTGAGCATTGGCAAATATTCTTCGAGGACTGGCTTCCACCATGAGATCCATGGGTCTAAATACTGGCACCTGTAAACCAAAGGATTGGAAAAAAAAATGTGAGCAATTACAGAAAAATCTGTCAGAGAAGAGCAGGCAAAACTGGGGGCAAAGTTAAACATGTCATCAGTTTAGAATCATTATATTGACAAAAGCAATCCCCGTCCAGCCCCCTCTCCCTTTGTATTCTGTTAACCCTTTGCTGGTGCTGATTTAATTTTAGTTGACTAGATTCTTGTGTATATGCTTGACTATTAAATACTTCTGAATTGCAACTTAATGCACTCTCCTTATCCTTTGTACCTATTATCAGTTCAGTATCAACAAATTAAAAGGTGGGAAACCAAGATCTCCCTATATGGAAACATCAGAATGGGTTGGGGCATAAAAACCAGGCAAAAAAAGAACCAGAGAATAAAACCCATCCATGCTATGATGCCCAGCTCTGTGTTACTCACCCGTAAAGTAGTGACTGTTGTGGGGTCTCTATACCGGCCATCTTCTTCTTTTAAGTTGTAGCCTTCCGGCCGCTTATCTCTCTCACTGATTTTCCATAGTTTTATTGTTTTGTCTGAAACACATTAAGGTAACGTTAGGCTGTTGAGAACCTCCAGCTCTTTGCCAGCAGAACTGATCACAGAATATATAATATGATTCATGCCTTATAAGAACCATGGTGGATATTTGGTGTGGTTAGAAATAGCTACCGGTAACAGGGTTGCGGGGGATTTTTTTTTGGAACTTTTACCACAGTTCAGAGCCTTTTGCTGTGACTGTTAATTTCCAGGCACACATGCAGATGTTGGATAATTTGCACTTTTAACTTGCCTTGGCAGTGCAATACCTCCCATTCCAAGAGATGCCTCCAGGTCTCCAAATGAAATAAAACAAAAGCCTCAAGTTCTCGGATGAGATTTAGCAATATTAAAGTAAAGGTAAAGGTTCCCCTCGCACATATGTGATAGTCGTTTCCAACTCTAGGGGGCGGTGCTCATCTCCGTTTCAAAGCCAAAGAGCCAGCGCTGTCCAAAGACGTCTCCATGGTCATGTGGCTGGATGACTGAACACCAAAGATGCACGGAACGCTGTTACCTTTCCACCAAAGATGGTCCCTATTTTTCTACCTGTATTTTTTACATGCTTTCGAACTGATAGGTTGGCAGAAGCTGGGACAAGTAACGGGAGCTCATCCCGTTATGCAGCACTAGGGATTCGAACCGCTGAACTGCCAACCTTTCGATCTACAAGATCAGCATCTTAGCCACTGAGCCACTGCGTCCCTTTTAGCAATTATTAAGACAATGGCTTTTGCAAGTTAGAAAATTCTCCGTTTCATCATGGCCCCTGGGATTCAACAAGGGTTGCCAGGACAAAAGGCATCAACCGCTCAGAGCTTTGCAAAATGCAAGAGACCAAAACCCCTGATTTTTGGTGCTTGGAACATAAACATCAACTCCCTGGAGGCAGAGCAAACCAGGAGGTTTTTTTTTAAAAAAAATTAAATTACAGGTTGTTCTCAAATTATGTCCATTTGTTAGTGGCTATTCAAAGTTACACTGAAAAAAAAAAAGGAACTTTTGACTGGCCCTCCCGAGTATCACAATGTCCCTATGGTCATGTGATCAAAATTGGTAACTGGCATGTATTTACGAGAATTGCAGCATCCCAGAGTCACGTGAGATGACTTCCGACAAATGCAAGTCAATGGGGAAGCTGGATTTGCTTAAAAACTATGAGGTTCACTTAACAACTGCAGTAATTCATTCAACAGCAAAAAAAAAAAAAAAAAAAAAAGTTGTAATATTGGGTATGATTCCCTTAACAACTACTTTTCTTACCAAGAGAAATTCCGGTCCCAACTGTGGTTGTAAGTCAAGAACTACCTGTATATGCAGCTAAATTCACATAATTCAAACTCTAAGCCTATATTAAGAAAATATACAGTAGCTATTATGTTTTTGTAATATTCTATACCCAAACAAATAAGCTATACTATAGCTGGATTTCCTATAATTCTTGGAATCACCAAGTACTTAATCCTATTTTAATTTAACTCAATAAATTGTGCCAACTCAACCATGCTCTAGGCCAGAGGAATCATCAGGAATGATGATTTGCAAGACAAGCTTTTAGGGACACGGGTGGGCAACTATGGTCTCTTTATGACCTATGGACTTCAACTCCTAGAATTCCTGAGCCAGGATGCTGAGTATACCAGAGAATGCTAGGTATCCCAGAGCATGTTGGCTCTGCAATTCTGGGAGTTGAAGGGGCCATAGTTGTCCATTCCCTGTTCTAGGACAAAGATAGCCACGGGGAACTTGGTTTAATAAAAGTCAACCATCAAGAATTAACAAAAGAAAGTCTTACCATTCGTAGACAATAAAAATTGAGCAGCGTTTTTCTGGGGTAACCACCTAATTTTGTTGATCTTTTCTTCAATTTCTAAGCTTTTCAAGTAGTCAAACTCTGGTTCGTGACTTTGGAAGGTACTGTAAACATTGTATTCACCTCTGCTGTGAGACTGTAGTTTGTTCTGAAAAGACAGTTTAAAGAAAATAAAAGATGAGAAATTCAATGAACAACCACCGTAGTTCACTCTTTCTATTGTGCAATAGGGGTTATAGCTCAGCATAACGGGACAGCACCATATAGCAGGGGTCTCCAACCTTGACAACTTCAAGCCTGGTGGACTTCAAGCCCCAGAATTCCCCAGAATTCTGGGACTTGAAGTCCTCCAGACCTAAAATTGCCAAGGTTGGAGAGCCCTGCCATGTAGGATGTGGGTTACCATTCTGCACGGTGTCTATTATTGAGTTGAGAATGATGAGAATTCAAGGGAATTAAGAATCAATTCAAACATGAATCATTTAAGGGGCTGCCAAACATTTAGTTGATCAACTGAACAAGCCTTTTGATAAAAATTCAAAGTTATTAGCATATGAATCCAACATCTCTGGGGAGAAAAGGAGACACTTTAAAGCACTTAACTAATGATTGTAATTTGTCTAATCAGCTGAATAAACATTGTAATTTAACTCTGTCTGATGAATATCCCATAAACTGGGGGGTGGGTGTGAGTGGGGAGGTTGTGTTCTCCTGGAGCATCGAAGACTAAACGCTCAGGAAAAAGTTGTTTTAATGATCATCTGTTCTTTGTTATGCTAGGTTATTTTTAAAAAGAAGAAACGGGGTGGGTCAAAACCATAACTCCCACTTTGAAGAGATATTGGTTGCTGTCTTTGAAAATGTTTGACCTGCTGTCCACCCATTCGTCTCACCTTTAGTGAAGTGGGTTAGACTAGCTCGAAGTCCCCCAGTCATCTCATATGCCTAAGAAAGGATTAATTTTGGGCTTATTGCACCTTTATCCGAATGTGATAAGCTGCTCCTCAGGCATACAAAAAGATATAATTATACAAAAATAAGCATAGATTTAATACGCCTATGCAGGCCTTTTAATATCTTTGACATCAGGGAAAATAACAGAAGCACATCAATAGTGGGTTTCAATTTTTTTTACTACCGGTTCTGTGGGTGTGGCTTGGTGGGCGTGGCTTGGCTTGGTGGGCGTGGCAGAGTAAAGATAGTGTAAAATCTCCATTCTTTCCCCAATCCAGGGGAAGCTTACTGCAAAATCCCCATTTCTTCCCGATCAGATGGGACATGGGAGGCAGAGAATAGATGGGGGCCAGTCAGAATGTTTACTACCGGTTCTCAGAATTACTCAAAATTTCCGCTACCAGTTCTCCAGAACTGGTCAGAACCTGCTGAAACCCACCTCTAAAGCACATACAGCTGAGCAAACCCACTCTGGCTTCAGACTGACCCAAAGCTGACCCATGCGCTTTGTGCGTGCATGTGCCATCTGCGCTAAGTCACAGCTCCTCCCAGGTGTGGTGCGTGTGCAACTGCACCATCTGTGCATGCGTGCGGCTCCCCTGTGCATTGCGTGTGCAATTGCACCACCGGCGCATGAGCGCAGGTTTCACGCAGCTCCCCCCATGCACTGCGCATGCAATCGCACCATCTGTGCATGTGCGTGGTTTTTGTGCACTCAATGAATGCACGCAAATGCCATCTGCGCATGCGTGCACTACGCACAAGTTCTCTCATGCATATGCACAAATGCATGCGCGAGCTCCGAAGACCAGTTGGGTCCCCTGAATTGCACATATGTGCACTGGAGGCCCGAACATCAGCTGGGACACGCGCGCATGCACAGCTGCAGGTGAATCGGGCAACATCTCATGTGCGTGGAAAGATGGCTCTACGTGCCACCTCGGGCACGCGTGCCATAGGTTCGCCATCATGGATCTATAACATGGGTGCACAAAGATTGAAGAATGTTGCATTTCACAGGTTTTTATGGTTGCTTCTCAAAACAAAGTTCCAGGGATTGGAACAGCTTTCTGTTTGTGTGCAGAAGCCTCTTCCACTTCTTTCTGTAAGCTACAAGAAGTGCCAGACAAGGGGTCAAAGTGCCACACTACCTCTCCTCTCTTTGTCTCATGGAGTAGAACTTCCCTTTAAATGAGATTTATTAAGCATGAGCAACTGATCATTATTAAAGATTAGCCGTCCTTTTTATTAGAAGGGCATTTGAACAACAACATAATTACTTCCAAGTGTTTAATAACAGGCTGAAAGAGGAAACACTTCATATCTTGGAAGACCTTCATATCGACCCAGATGTTCCTACCATGTTCATAGAGGCCGTACCAGATTCAAATGATCAGTATTTAAGTCCCAAATCATCAGAAGGATGCCAAATTGGGAAAGGTTAGGCTAGCAAAATCTGGGTTGCGGCATCCCTGTTGTATTGGATCAAACGTCTTGCATTATTCATTGGTGTTTCTCTCCTCCTAATGAAACGTCTTGGCACTTACTTGCCAAGTCTACTATGGTGGCGACCATCTAGATCAGGGGTATCAAACTCAAGAGGCTGGATTCGGCCCATGGGGTACTTAGATCTGGCCCACAGGACTGCTCTGGAAACAGCGAAGGACCACTATGGTGCTTCTTCCAGGGAAAACGGGCTCCTGAGCTCTGTTTTCGGCCGCCACGGCCTCCTGCAACCCTCTGCCAGTGAAAACGGAGCTCGAGCTCTGTTTTCACTGGCAAAGGGATGCAGGAGGCTGTAGCAGCCGAAAACGGAGCTCGGGAGCCTGCTTTCGGTGGCAGAGTGCTCGGGCCACCACAAGTGCTCCTGACAGGAGTGACGTTGACCTGGCCACGTCCACCATGGCCCCCCGAGGTCAAACACGATCCTGATGTGGCCCTCAATGAAATTCAGTTTGACACCCCTGATCTAGATTCAAGGCATAACTTATAAGGCAAGATGAAGATGATCTTCTTCTGAGCCTATTTTCTAAGCCAGAGGATACCATCAATGTTGGCATGCTAAGCTGAATTCCCTGCCAGACTAATTAAAATTTTATTGGCATGAATCTCATTGACGTGATCAGTTGGGAGACACCAGTCATTTCCTGCCTAGTAGGTCACATAGCTTTGCCACGTTCTAAGCCAAACAAGCCCAGTGGCCAATGCAATTACAGACCTGGTGGATCTGGAGAAGCTTTGCAGATGGTCCTCAACTGTCTTGGATGCCCTAGGTCCGTGATGGCGAACCTATGGCATGGGTGCCACAGGTGGCACACGGAGCCATATCAGTGGGCACGCAAGCGTTGCCGTAGCTCAGCTCCAGCATGTATCTGTGTGCCAGCCAGCTGATTTTTGGGCCTTTTGGTCCCACCGGAAGTTGGGAAATGGGCTGTTTCCGGCCTCCGGAGGGCCTCCAGGGGGGTCATTTTCGCCCTCCCAAGGCTCCTAGAAACCGTCTGGCGCCTGGGGAGGATGAAAAACAGACCTACCGGGCCCACCGGACCATCATGTGCTAAAGGGGGGGCGCGCACATGTGCAGGGGCAGGGTGCATTGAATTATGGGTGTGGGCACACACGTGGGTGACCTCCCCGCGCTCCTCCCGCTTTTGGCACGCGATGGCAAAAAGGTTAGCCATCACTGCCCTAGGTACTGAAAGGCAGCAGAGGCAGTTCTCAACTTATGACCAGAATTGAGCTCAAAATTACAGTGGTAAATTGTGGTGGTCATTAAGTGAGTCACCATGCGACTGTGCCCGATTTGATGACCATTTTTGCAATGGGCATTAAGCAAACACCGCAGTCATTAAGCAAACCCATTGTACTCAATGGGCATTTTTTTTCCCCAGAAACAAGAAGGAAACACGAACTTTTGGCAAACAACGTACATCATGGTCAGATGATTGAGGGATGGCCGTAACTGCAGCCCACTCATCAAGGAACCAAAATGTGATCATGAGACCATGCCAGATTTTTTTTTCGGGGGAGGGGGGGGCAGTTGTCAGAACTTGAAAACCATGTCGTAAGTAGGTCCATCAAAACCATGTTGTAACTTCAATTGGTCGCTAAATGGCAGATTGAGAGCTACCTGTATTCAACCAGCCTCAGCCTGCCTGTCCCAAATTGGATCTCAATTGCCAGAATTCTTGGCAATGCTATGATGGCTGTGCTCGGTTCTCACGGCCACCCAAGTTGGGGAACTAATTTAGGATGTTGCCTAATGCCGAGACCATTTAGCATAGCTCTTTATTTATTTACGGTCATAGATCAAAATAAACCCTGGATAATTAAATATCAACTTCTTCCCTATTTTCCTGATTCTGGGTGTATAAATCACCCACTTACACCTCTAACAGTGTGTCTATTTTTCAAGGGAAAATACCTGCCCAGAAATCAATGGATTTTCAGTGATTCTTCAGGCAAAGTTAAGGAAAAGTGGGGGGGGGAGTAATTGAGGAATTTGGGGATTATAAACTTCAATTTTTCTGCCTTTGGGGGTGTTTCAAATACTATTTAAAGACAAAAAAAAAAAAAAAGGTTGTTAAGTTTAGCAGAGACTGGACACTACATCATTGTTACAGCTCTTATTTTTCTTAAAAAGCAAGAAATTCCACTGCTGAATTTCGTTGAACAGCTCTGAGTTGCCAATCTCCTAAGGAAAGCTCACAAGGTACCATTTTAGAATCAAAAATCAGAAAATATTTACTGTATGAATGATAGATCGTAACTGAGTACGCCAACAGAAATGTTAATTAATTCAACACAAGTAGAAATGTAAAAGTCTAAGAAAGAAACGCTAAATAAAAAATGCTCAGAAATTCTATTAATCGAGCGTTTTATTGTAATTTAACCAGCAAGTAGATGGTTTAATAAAGAATTGCCAAGAATAAAGGAAGGGATATGTTAAACCTTGGAAGGAAGTTCTGGTAGAAATTCCTCCCCCTCTCCCATTAAGAGGGTTTAAATTACTGTGAATGGTACAAAGGGAGGCAGTGAAAGATTTACAACAAAGTGAAGGGCATGAATAGGCTTTGTATAACCGAAGACATCCCCTCTGACACCATCCTTAAAACAAGAAAAAGGAAAAAGTCAGCAAAAGTGGCCCTGATATTTTTCTGGAAAGCTCTGAAGACATGGTTCTGTCAGCAGGGACTG